AGAGCAGTACCTCACTGAGGGTCCCCCACAAGAGCAGTACCTCACTGAGGGGTCCCCCCACCTGAGGGTATCCCACCAGAGCATCCCCTCTCTGAGGACCGCCCCCCCCAGGGCATCCCACCACAGCGGTACCTCACTGAGGGTTCCCCCCACCTCGGGGTGTCCCACCTCACCTCAGGACAGCCCCACACCTGGGTGCCCCATGTGAGAGCGTCCCACCCGGGGGGTCCCCCGGCCCGCCGCCCCCGCACCTTTGTGCATGCCAGTGAAGCGATCCTTGAGCACGGTGAGCTCGTAGATGCGGCCGAACTCCTCGAAGAGCGGCTTGAGGTCGCTCTCCTCCAGGTTGCGCGGGATCTGCCCCACGAACAGCTTGATGGCGTCGTGGTCCTTCATGGCGATGGCGCCGGGCGGGCGGCTCAGCCCGTTCACCCGGCCGCTGTTCGCGGTGCTGAACGCCGCCCCCGCCGCCTCGCCCGCCGCCGCCGCCGCCATGGCCCGTTCCGCGCCCCGCCCCGCCCGACCGGCACCGCTCGGCACCGCCCGGCACCGCTCGGCACCGCTCGGCACCGCCCCGCTCGGCACCTCTCGGCTCGGCTCGGCTCGGCCCGCGCCCGCCAGCGGGCCCGTGACGTCAGCCGGACGGTCCCGCCCAGGAGCGCCGTATTAGCATAATGAGGGGGCGGCGGCCAATCAGAAGCGGGGGGCGGCAAGAGGGGCGGGGGGCGGCGCGGCTCCGCCCACTGCTGCCCCCTGCCGGGCTGACCCCGAATCCCCCCCGCCCCGTCACCCTCCCGCATCCCTCGCCCCCCGGGTTCCCCCCATTCGGCCCCCGGCTACCCTGTCACCCCCATCATCCCCATCACCCTCCATCAACAGCCATTAACATCACCGCCCCTACCGAATCCTTATCACATCTCATCATCCCCGGCATCCCCATCACCCCGATCATCTCCATTACCCGTGTCACCACCAGCCCCCCATAGCCCCCCAGTCATTCCCATCACCCCCATCAACTTTCTCACCCCACCATCAGCACACCTCATCCCTATTACCCCCATCACTTCCCTTCACCTCCATCACACTCCRTCATCTCCATCATACCCATAACCTCCCATCATCCCCCATCCTCCCCATCACCCCTGTCTCCCTCCCCATCTCTCCCATCATTTCCCATGGCTCCCATCACCCTCTGTCATGCCCTGCTACCCCTCATACCCCCATCACCCCCTATGTCCCCCCCTTTCCTCATCTCCTCATCACCCCCTCCATCCCCCTTTGCCCCCCATCATTTCCCCACCTCAGAGCAGGGTTTAAAAACACGGAAGAGGCTCTAAAAGGGTCAATTTGGACACTTTGTTGAGTTTTTCACCTTCATGGACCCTACGYTGCCCCTGTTGCTGCCCCATAAGGGGGAGGAGGGAAGCACCTCCCTCCTGCACCCCRCGTCACCCCAAAAGATCTGTAATTAGACTGAGCAGCTTTAATACCTGGTGCTGTCGTTAATTAATTAATTAGTCCCAAAGCAGCAGCCAGGTGGGGGAGGCCTGGCTTCCCCGGCGTGCTGCTACACGTGTGCAGGAGGCGTGAGCGTGGGGAGGGGTGTGAGTGTGTGCAACTGTGTGCATGTGTGTGTGAGCACACACACATGCGTGCCAGCGTGTGCAAGTCCACACAAATGAGTGCACATGTGTTCAAGCATGTGCAAGCACATACAGGTGCTGCAAGAATGCACACGTGTGCATAAGTACGTGCAAGGGGCTGGCTTCAGGCCTGTGTGTCTGTGCAATGATGTGTGGGGGCATTTGCATGTGTGTGCAAATGTGCACRTGTGGAAGTGTGTACAGGAATGTATGTGTTTGAAGGACCCATAGGCACACATGCATGTGTGTGCCATGACCTGTATGCATGTGTATGCAAACACGTGCATGAGTGTGTGCATGCAAGGACTCACACGTGTGYGCATGCAAGGGTGCGAGGATCCATGCGGACATGTGCTAGCACATGCACAAGTGTGTGTATGCAAGGACCTGCATGCACATGTGTGCACGAGTGCATGTGTGCAAAGACTCACATGTGTGAACAAGCGCACTTGTGCATGTGTGCAAAGGCCCTCAATGCAGGTGTGCAAGCATGTACACAAGTGCACGTGTGCGCAAGGACTCTTACGCATGTGTATCGTGAGTGCAGATGTGAGAACCCATAACCACGTGTGCAAGCGGGTGCATGTGTTCACAAGAGCACACACAAAGCACACTCGTGTTTATAAGAGCACACACACATGATGCACACGTGTTTACAAGTGCATACACTTGTATGCAAGACACATTTACAAGCATGGACATTTCAAGCATGCATGTGTTTACAAGTGCACACATGATGCACACATAGTTTACAAGTACACATATGATGCATAAATGTTTAGAGCACACACACAATGCACACACGTTTACAAGCACACACACACGATGCACACGTGTTTACAAGCACGCACACACGATGCACACACGTTTACAAGCACACGAAGCATACGCGTGTTTACAAGCACACACACACTGTACACGTGTTTACAAGCACACACACAATGCACACACATTTACAAGTGCACACRCAATGCACACACACGTTTACAAGCACACGTGATGCACACGCGTGCTGCCCCTGCGAGTGTGTCCCAATAAACCCCCCTGGCTGGTGCCRGTGCCCACGGGCAGGTTTGGGACGCGTGGAGCATAATCCTGCCGGAATCCGGGGGCTCGGCGGCTGCTCCTCGCCGCCGCTTGGGTTTATTTTTAAACCCGTTGGCCCCGAGTGATTCACACGCTGCCTGTTCCCTGTTCCCTGCTCCCCGGCAAGTTTTACACGACCAAAATAGATGTTCTGGAAGGAACGGGCCACCCGGCAAAGCCGCGGCGGGGAAAGCGGGGTGCTCCCGGGATCCCGGCCCTTCCAGGCTGGGGAYGTCACTGAGTCACCTCCATGGTGGGGGTTTGGGGAAAATGCCGGCGCAGACGCCCCGGAAAACGGGATGGTGGGTGATGTTTAACCTCAATCGCAATACCAGGCTTCAGGGGAAGGTGCTGTGTTGGGGGGGTCCTCCATGGCAAGGCAGAAGGGCAGGTGGAATAAGGGCAGAGCTGGGATGCGGTGGTGAAGAGCCTCTCTTGCAGAGCATCATCCATGGGAACAGAGCACCCTTCCCAGGGCAGGGTCCCTCTTGCCCCTGCAGCAGCTCCCTGCAGTGACAAAAGCACACTGCCCAGATACCACTTTACAGCACATCTGGAACAAAAATCCAACTTTTAAAAATAGGAAGCAGTAATAACTGTAAATTAACTATTTTTAATTTAAAGTTCAATCATAAAATGTTTCCAGCTGTAACAGCACATCTCACTCAGTTGAGACCAAGACACACATACAACAGYCCCATGCAGCCAGGATCTCTCCCCGAGAGATTCCCTGATTTCTGCTGAACGTTGTTCCCAGCACAGAAACCTCAACCATCTAAAGACAACAATCACACCTGTCCCAGTTCTATGGGATAGCAGCATTACTGGTTTCTTCTCCGAGGAAAACACCATCCCTTCTGGATGGTGCAGACCTGGAGCTGAGCTCCTCACCCTGAGGACAACAGAGCACGAGAAGGATGGGTCAGTTGGCCAAATCCCAGGGAGAGGTTACAGCCCAAARAGCTGAGCAGAGATTCCGTAATATCCATGCACCACTCAGCAGATTTGCAAGGACTCCTAGGAGAGGCTCCAGGGTGTCATCTGCTGAGGACAAGGCAGAGGAGGTGGCAGCAGCCACGGTTTTGGGCAGCAGAGGTGGTGACTCGCTGGCCTGGCCATCAGAGGAGAGAGGAGGGACAAGGACAGTGACTGCAGAAGCAAACCCTAGCACAGCAGCAGAGGCTTAGCACAGTTGAGCCAGCTGAGCAGCCACCCTGCAAGCTCCAGAGTCGAGGGGATGGTGCCTCTCCACCAGCATCTCTGGAGCAAGCCCTACCCATCTCCAACTAACAATAACCCTTGCACCGTCTCCCAAGCCCCAGCTGAGCAGGAATAGGCACCTTTTTCCTCTTTGGGGTCATTTATTTATAGACTTAAAGAAATAAAAATAGAGTAAGAGGCAGAGTGCATGCTGAGGCAAAAAAAATGTTCATTGCAACCAAGCCAGAGAAGGTGGGGTGGGAAGGGGTCCCTCTGCCCTTTTTGGGGCAGACATTCCTCCTGTGTGCACACAGACTGAGTGCAGCGGGGCTCTCCCTTCAAGCCCCGCTGAATTCTTGGTCACAGTATCCGATGAAGAGAGGCTGCGCCTGGACACCACGCCTGGGAAGACAACAGAAGGAGGGCATCAGGGAGAGGGCACAGGCMCAGCCACCACAGAGTTTGAGGGATTCCAGTGGCACGGGGTAGCTGTGGGTGCCTCGTTTCAGGTGCAACAAGGAGGGAGGAGTTTTCACCCTGTGTTTATAAACTCGTTTTGCTCATGTGTGGGAGCATGGGGTGAGGATAGGTTTCCTGGGAAAGCTGGTGCTGCAGGAGGGGTGGCAAGAGCTGACAAGTCCCCTCCTTCCTCAGCACAAAGCCCTCTCCTCGCCAGAGCCACCAGCCCACGCCAGCAGCAGGAGTGCTCCTCCAGCGCTGCACAAAGCAAGCTCTGCCTACACACAGGCACCAGAAAACCAGGGCTTTGCACAGGAACAAGGGTCATTGTGCAGCAGGGCAAGCCCTTCTCCCTCGCTGCCCTCCCAGGGCTGAGCCCACAACAGTTGTGCCAGAGGAGCTGTCCCAGGATGGTTACCTGAGCAGGGTGCAGCGGAACTCTGCCAGCCGGGCATACGCATCTTCCACATTCCCGACAGTCTCGTTGCTCCAGAGTCGTTCAGCTACAGCCCCAGCCCTCGGCCTTGAGGACAAGGGACAGGCAGTCAGRAGAAGGGGGAGCTCAAAAGCTTCTCACATAAACCTCTGAGCTCCAAACAMTTCCCTGACCAGAATCCTTCCACACACAAAGGCTTCAGTGTACCCCGAGACCCACTCCTAAGCCGTGTGGATCAGGAGCAGACCAGGGTGGTAGGACAGGCGGGTGTTAAGCACAACCTGGTTGCAGCAGCAGGTTGTTACAGCTCATTTCAGCCCCAGGGAAGCTGATACCAGCATAGAGGGGACAGGGACAGGTACCACACACAGACCAAAGGCAGAGTGTGACACATTCAGTGGCAAAGGGACGTGAGCCCAGCCCCACACAACCCCTGTGACCTCTCTTACCAGAGCCTGGGGGTCAGGTTGGTGACATCCACGTATTCACCCCACATGCAGGCCTCGCCACCCATCACCAGGGCCTTCTGCTCAGGGCTGCCTGTGGAGGGGACAGCAAGACAGCCGGTCCTGACGCTACCTCCAAGTGCCAAGCCAGCTGCCAAGCAGGAAGGGGACACAAGGGAACACACCTGGGAAGTTCAACGGCTCCACCTTATAGGCTTCTATCCAGTCCTGCCCGTAGGAGATGCGGTTGAGGTACCAGGGTGCAGAGAGCAGAGCCTGGTAGCCAGCCCTGGTGACATTGGCCATCTCGTTCAGGTACAGCATGCCGTTCTCCTTCCATACGTGGATGATGGTGTCAGGCCTCAGCTGAGGAGCACAGGTGAACATGGTGATGGGGATCAGTGAGGTGACAGGAGCATCACATGGCTCCACACACAGAGTGCCCTGACCCCTCCACATGCCCAAAAGGAAGCTGAGGCAGACTTGGGCTCAGTTCTTGAGCCAGTTCCTGTCTGGTTTGCAGGAGCAAGAGGGAGAGATAAGGCCATTTGCAGAATACCCAGGGCAGGGTTAAAATCCGCATCTTGCAGGTGAATATGCAAGTACCTTGGAGGGAGCAGAGCACTGGCAGCAAAGTGACAAAGCCACCACGAGGGCAGCTCACTGGCAGCATCATCTTGAGATGAACCCCAGTTCTGTAACAGTGTAACCCTCACCAGCCACAGCACGGCCCCACCTAAGCAGAGCAGTGTGTTTGTTTGGGGTGCTGGCACCATTCACCCCAGTACAGACCCCCAGAACACAGCAGTGTGCTTGTTTGGGGTGCTGGCACCATTCACCCCAGTACAGACCCCCAGAACACAGCAGTGTGCTTGTTTGGGGTGCTGGCACCATTCACCCCAGTACAGCCCCCCAGAGCACAGCAATGTGCTTGTTTGGGGTGCTGGCACCATTCACCCCAGTACAGCCCCCCAGAGCACAGCAGTGTGCTTGTTTGGGGTGCTGGCACCATTCACCCCAGTACAGACCCCCAGAACACAGCAATGTGCTTGTCTGGGGTGCTGGCACTGTTCACCCCAGTACAGACCCCCAGAACACAGCAATGTGCTTGTCTGGGGTGCTGGCACCATTCACCCCAGTACAGCCCCCCAGAGCACAGTAATGTGCTTGTTTGGGGTGCTGGCACCATTCACCCCAGTACAGCCCCCCAGAGCACAGCAGTGCGTTTGTTTGGGGTGCTGGCACTGTTCACCCCAGAACAGGCAGCTCTCACCTTCACATCGTTGTCAAACACCTCTTGCCACACAATATAACCTTTACCAAGGGAAGAGACGATGTTCAGAAGCCTGGAGAGGAAAAACTACTGAGTTTTGGGTGATCCCACTGACCCTCTGTTTGATGGTTACACACAGCCAAAGCAGCAGCACTGATATTCCCTACACCCTCGGCAGGATGTAGAGATGCTTCTGAAGGAGAAAGAAGGGAGCACAACCCCTTATGGAGCTTYTTTCTCCTCAGCCCCAGTATTTTTTGTGATCAATCTCCCATTAAAATGCTCCTTTTTGGGGTCAGTGAGACATGACCAATGGGGATTCTCCTGAAAAGGAGACAGAAGACATCTGTCCTGGTGACACAGTACAACTGCAGRCCCTAGACCCCATGTCCTTACCTCTGGATGTAGAAAGACTCTAATTTTTTGTAATCTTCACCAAAGCCCATCTCCCTCATGAAAGCACGGATTTCTGGATTGGATTTCCTGCACACCAAACAGAAGGAATGAAACCATTACAACCCGAGCTCTGGAGTAAGGCCAAAGCATGGTCAGACCTTTCCCACTTCAGTCCAAGGCATGGCCACGCATTCCCAGAGCTGTGGCTGGACCGGCATCAGTAGYTCCCTACATCCAGCATTACTATGAGCAAGAAATCCCAAGCACCACCCCAACCCCCGATCTGGGAGAGCAGGACACCAAAGATGCATGACCAAGAAGCGATGGGCTGGGACTCCAATCCCAAATACTTCCCCCGAGACCCCATCCAGACTGATCTCAGACTCACCAGCATGTGAAATCCACCTCATCACCACCAAGGTGCAGAAAAAAGTCTGGGAACACAGAGCTGACCTCTTGGAACAAACTGGTCACAAACTGGTAGGTGCTGTTAACAATGGGGTTGATGGGCCCATAGACTCCAGAAGGAGTTGCACCCAAATAGCAGGGAGTCAGGAGGCCTGGAGCACCTGGATGGTAACAAATGCAGGATGGTGAGGAAGGGGCAAAGCGCAACCATGTCCCACTACAATGCTCCTCAGCACAACTCAGGGCCTGTCATGGGACAGGGAAGGAGGGACAGCCACACACATGGTGAATTCTAGCATAGGCCTTGGCATTTGCAGGCAGAGGAAGGGGTGAAAAAGACAATGGAATGTTTTCCTGGAGCTTCTTGCACTTCCATACATGGAAGAGGAGACACAGTCCTTGGAGCAGAGAGCAGTGCGTATCAGGACTGGGGCACTACTAAGCRGAACAAGCAAGCTTGGCCAGCTGTACCCTCAGTTAAACACAAGATCCTTGCATAGCCATGATGTCAGTTTTGGCAGAGCAGGTGCTCCCACAAAAAAATCACCCAGCTGGGACCCAAGAAGAGACAGAAATGTTTCCCCTTGGATTTTGTTCTAGAAGTTGGGCCATTGGGCCCCACATCCCCCAGATGGAGCTTTGCTCCAGCTCAGAGCCAGCTTATGGGACACTGCTGCCCATAGCCAGGTTTCAGGGTGCAKACTGCAGCTCCCATTCCTGCCCCTGGGACAACTCCCACTCTCCTCACAGCAGCAGGCAGGGTCTGCTCCTCACCTGGCCCCCAGGACAGGGTGTGGCCGGGGGTGTCGAACTCAGGGATGACCCTGATGCCGCGCAGCCGCGCGTGCTCGATCACGGTGCGCACGTCGCTGGCTGTGTACACGTGGGTCATGGCGTTGAAGGCTCCCTGGGAACACGGCAAAGCTCAGTGCCTCGCCCAGGAGCAGAGGCAGAAATCTGCTCACTTGGGACGGGCACACACGGTGACCATGGAGCATTACCTGCTTGCTGAGCTCTGGGAATGTGGAGCTCTCATACGGGAAAGATGGGTCATCCACAATGTGCCAGTGAAACACGTTGAACTTGTTGTAAGCCATGACATCCTGGGAAGGAACGGGGACAAAGATGAATGTGCCCTGTCCCTTCTGAAAGGTCACCCAGATAACCACAGGGAAAGGGAATAAGGCCCTCCTGCTCCAAAAGGACAAGGCAGAGTCCCTAAATACTCTCCAGGGTCCAAGAGGGATTCAGACACCTCTCTCTAAACACAAAAAGCTGCACCCTGTGTGCAGGGCCAGGAATACTTGTGCCCACAGTAAAATCTCTGTTCTCCCTCCAACTCAGCCGCTGATGGAGGCCTGGAAGTTTAATTCTGCTTGGGATGAGCACAGAACTGCCATGCACCTTCGCCAGAGTTCTTCCCTGCCTTAGAAACAACCCAGCCTAGAGAGTAACCTGGATTGCAGGAATCCAAGACACCTCAGGGTTTTCTTTTTAACAAAGGCAGCTGAGAAATCACCCAAACATGGGAGCTCAGCTGTCACAGGGGAAGAGACACTCAATTAAACCACCTCACCTCCCAGCATGGGTGCCCTACCAGAGTTTCCAGGATGGCTCTCAGAGGCAGGTAGTGTCGAGAGGTGTCCAGCAGCAGTCCCCGGTGAGGGAAGCGGGGAAAGTCCACGATTTCTGTCTCATTGATGTAGTACTGCACACAGAGGACACCAGGAAGCCATGAGCAGGACATTGGGCAAACGGCCATTATTAACAAGAGACAGTGAGGGTCACCATTGTCCCCAGGGCTCGTGGGACAGGGCCACCCTCACTGCCCAGAGGGCAAATGAGCCGGAAAGGGCTGCAGCACATCTTTACCCMCTCAGAAGGCAGGGATCTGGCTGGATCCATGAATCTCCACCTGGCCCTTGATGAGTCTATGCCCACTCATCCCAAACATCCCAGAAACCCTCAGCCTGTCCCCAGGGAGGCAGGGGCACTRTGGAGAGCTGCCTGCCCCCAGGAGATGAGGCCAGGACTCACCGTGCCATTCTTGTCTCTCCCAATGAGCTGGCTGAATGTTTCCAGGCCTGCAGGAAAACACACAGCCCCTTTCTCAGCACAGACACCCCCAAAGGAGCAGAGCTCAATTAACAAAGAAGTCAATGGAAAGAGAGAGGCACTGSAAGACATTCCCAGAGGCCCGAGGCAGGGGGAGTGGGAATGCCCTGCAGGAAGCACAGCTCACCTCGGAGAGCTCCCCAGATGGTGTCTGCGGAGAGCAGCATGGAGCCTTTGGAGACGGACAGCTTATCTGCAACACAGCATCAGGGGGCTGTACCACACAGCCAGGACAACAGGGCAGGGCTCAGGTACAGGACTTTACCCCAGRACCCTGGAGAACTGAATTTTGGGCCTCTGTTGCTGTTTTAAATCTCTCCCCACTACTTTATCAGCGCTCCCCAGTACRTCCCTCCTGCCCTGCCCCAGTGTCTCAGTAACAGGGGATCAGTGCTCTCTCCTAAACCAGGGGGAACTGAACAGTACTACTTCCCACTGACAGGGACAGAAACACCTGCTCCCAACACTTACAGCTCTCCTTGGAGTCSAGGCTGGGAAAGCCATCGCAGCCCGGTGTGTTAATGTAGACCAGCAGCTCACTGCAGGGTGCATCCCAGGACAGTTCATTCTCTGCAAAGGACACAGACCATGCACAGCTCTTTTCYCTGCTTCCAAGCTCACCACCATCCTCACAGCTCAGCTAGGGATGGAGGCAGAAACAGGCACCCTTCCTGTATCCCCAAACGGACATTGGGGTGTTCAGCAGGGGCTAGTTTCAACACAGCCAACCAGGAGAACATAAGCTGATCTCAATGTGTGAGGAAGCCCCCAATAAAGCTTAAAGGAGTGCACAAGAGAATACTGGTTAGCAGCAGCCCCTGAGGTTTCCTGGACACCAGTGCTGGCTCTAAGTTACAGSCATGACTAGTCAAAGCTTCTCCATGAGGGTGAAGAGCTTCTTGTTTCCAAGCTCTCCCACCACTGGAAAGAAGTACAAGCCCAAGAGCTCTGCCCTACCCACATTTCTTGGAAAGGGCAAAGAAAAATCTGTGAGAAGAAAAGAAAAAGGGTGGAGAATGAATCTGCTGAGCTGGGCTGAATTAGAAGCAATCAAAAGGTCTCATCCAGTTCAAAAAAGCTCCTGACTGACTTCACCTTCTACAGAGCAGGTCCCAGGCGTAGCAGTCAGGGAAACAAACTCTTAAGTTCAGACCTTAAGTAGGAGCTCTGGCTGCACTTCCCTAACTTGAGGAGCACTTCCAAGGATGCACAGGCCTGAATCCCCACTAGAGTCACTCCCCCATTCCAAAGGGGATGCAAGGGGCTTCTCACAGCAGTCTGCTGCCAGGAGGTGTGCAGGATAGCAGAATGGGACCCTGCTCCTCCCAGCTGAGGTCCATGCCTACACCCCCACAGCATTTCCAGGAACAGCCAATGCTCAATGTGGTCACTAAAAATAAATAGCTTGGCTTTGAATGAGCCAAGAGCWCCAAGAAGTTTCCAGAGAGATTGTGGCACTGTCAGCGGTCCAGGTGAAACACAGAGAGCCCCTGCTCCACAGCTCACAGGAGCCARAACCCCCCAATTTCTCCACGAAGGGATGATGAAACCTCTGCGGAGAGAAGGAAAACAGCTTGAAGCCAGCCCTGTTTTGAGCTTTCCTCTTGGTTGCAGACAAGCTGGTAGCCAAGGCAACCTCGCAGATGTGCAAGCAGCACAGCAAGACCTGCTCCCTCCACTCAGGAAGGCGGCAGCTCACCGGGAACAGCTGCTCTCAGGCCTAGGGACACAGGGAGCACTCACCCGGCTGAGGAGCCTCAGCAGAATGGGCCTCAACACCACCATACACCGCTGTTGAACCTGCCCAGGGAGACACTTCCCAACCCAAACACAGCCTCCGAGGCCAAGGCGCAGGCAGGCACCTCCGCCACCAGACCCGCAAGGCAGAGCAGCCAGAAAATGGTTTCTGCCATTTATTTACACTATTAATAGAAATTATTTCCTTTCATCCAGAGTTTCCAACGCCTGTTCTTACTAACCACCCATGCGGAAAAAAAAATAGACCAAAACAAAATGAAGGCAAAGAGGGGAAAAAGGCCTTAAAATAATTTGTGTAGTTTGAACATCATAAAGCAGGGCATAYGGAAAGCAATGAGTGTGAGCTGGATCTTGTGATCACAACGTTGCTCCAAGTGATTTGATGGTCACATTTCCCCTCTGAGTGGAACAGGAGAGCGTGAATAATTAGATCAGCTGTTTTTAGTTCCTAGCAGCAAAAGAGAACCAAGAGAAGTCTTCTTGGCTCCCAAATCAAAATTTATTTCTACTGCTACTCACAAGAGCTGAAGAAATAAAATAAGCCAAAGGGTTCTCTGTTTCAAACCTGCTTTTTTCAAAGTATGATGTACTCAAGATGAAGCCAAGCGGCTTCTAACGCTGCCACCCTTCTCTGCTTTGATCAGCAGCGACAGAGTTCACACTGACATTTAAAACACTCGGGAGCAGAGTTACTAGCTCTTTTTGATGAATGAAGTGCTTCACATTCCCTGGCTATAGCACTTCAGGCTGCAGCAGACCCACGCAGCCACCAAGCATCCCTGCGCGTCAGTTCTGCAGCCAAGAAATTTCCTGCAGCTCATCCCAGACAAGCAATGGGTGCTGTCATGAAGAAGCCTGGGTTCAAGAAACCTTTAGAACCTGTCCCAAAGCAAACCCAGGCTCTTAAAGCTCCTACCTTTCCTCATCTTACCCTACTATTTCAGGATGAATCCAGGAGCTAATCCCTCCCCAGCAGAAAAACTATGCTCCCTCGGGACATTTAACAGCTCCACTTTGGCACAGGTGCCCCGTGGCACAAGTATGTACTTGGAAGCACACACACGAAGCAGTGTCTTTCCTCAAGGCGAAACCTCACACAGGACACCGAGAGCTGCTAGGAATGGGAAGAGCCAAGACTTAGCAGTAACCCTGAAGCAGGAACCGTTGCGAGACCAACAGCAGCTCTCCCTGCAGCCATAAGAGAAGGAAACGAAATGAAGCAATGGGGAGCTGAAACACTATCCGCAAGATGTAAAAAATGAGATGAAGGAAACCTTTGATAGCAAAGGCTTAAATTCTGGAAGGAAAACAACTAGTGCTGTGCCAAACTCGGTTGGATTTATTCTACATACGCCACAGGCATCGCCCTCCAAATCCCAACGCATCGCCGCCCTTGCCACCGGACTCCATCCAAGCCACACCTCCCACCGCACCTACCCCYGCCGAACTGAGGGGAGGCAGACGACCACCAAACCCCGTGGTGTGACCCCAAAATAAGCGAGGCTGTGGGGAGTGTTAAGCTCAAAGCCACCGAGGGAAGGGTCAGCGCCCGCCGCGGCCCTCACCAGTGGGGCGGCCCTCACCAGTGAGGAGGCCGAAGAGCAGCGGCCAGTACCGCTGGAAGGCGGCGTCCAGCACGGCGCAGCCCGGCCCYACGGCCGAGCCGTTCGCCGCGGCGAAGCGGAACCGGCGGGCCGGCACCAGGCAGCGGCCGCCGCCGAGCGGGGACCTCTGGGCCTGGGGCTGCGGCCACACGGCCCCCGCCGGGCCCGGCAGCAGTGCCAGCAGCAGCGCCGGGAGCAGCAGCAGCCCGAGCAGCGACGGCTGCAGCGCCCGCGCCGCCGCCATGTCGCGCCCGAGCCTGAGGGAGGCGGCACCGCCCGACAGCGGGGGGCCGGGCGGCCGCGAAATGGCAGCTCGGGCCCGCCCTCACGGCCCCCCCCCGCGCTGTCCCTCGCCCCACAGCCTGTGCCAGTATTCCACAGTCGCCTCGTTCTCTTCTAATGAATCCCCCAAAACTCTCCGACTCCCCACCGAGGGTCATTTCTGCCCCAGATCTCAGGGTTTTCAGCTCCCCCACCCAGGCCATGCTTCCTGCCCTCAGGGAGCCTTAGTAGCCTGGCTTAGGGCTTGAGATTAATGGTTTCCATCATGTATTTCACCCGTGCTGCTTTCGTGGAATCATGGAGTGGTTTGGATTAGAAGGGATCTTAGAGACCATTTAATTCCACCCCCTGCCATGGGGAGGGACACCTTCTCCTATCCCAGGTTGCTCCAAGCCTTGTGTCCAACCTGGCCTTGGACACTGCCAGCACTGGGGGCAGCCACAGCTTATCTGGGCAAACCTGTGCCAGGGCCTCACCACCACATTGGTAAATAAGTTCTTCCTCATATCTAACCTAACCAGACCCTCTCAAAGTTTGAAACTAGCACGCCTCACCCATGCTTTGGATGTACCTTGGGTCTGGGCATCTTCTGTTGGTGCTGGGAGCAATACCGCATACAAATCACCCCTTGCACAGGTTTCCTGGGATATTTCATATGTGACCAGTGAAATATCGATTGAATTGTACAAAAAAAATGGGGCTTTGTCCCATCGTGGATTCTCACAGTGAAGTGTTGCTGGGATGCTTTCCATGCAGCGCTTGCCTTTTCCAAGGAAAGCCTTAACCTCAGATGAACTCTATTTAATTTTGCTTCCTCCCTCCAGCTCTGCTTTCCTTAGCAATCCCCAACTCAAATAAGGGCCTTAAGCCCAGGTCTTACCCATCTAATTGCCAGCACAAACTTATACAGGAACCCACTCCATCAAATTATTAAAAACCTGYTGTCCCAGAAAACTCCAAGGTATCAGGATTGCTGGGAGACAAACCAAAGGCATGGGAGCAAGCAGGAAATTAAACAAATGGTGCAGGAGAAAGCGTGATAAGSGAGATGGCCCCATCACACCAGAGGAAAAACCACCCTGTGTGAGCAGGAGACAACCATGGAAAGGGCTGGAAGGGAATGTAAGGGATTGTCCCTTATATGGGAGCAGTGCAGAGAGGACAGGATCAACAGGAAAAAAAAAACTGATAGAAAAAAAACCCTCAGGGAATCTGTTGTCAAAGGTTAGAATAGCACCAGCCAAAGCTGGGGACTGAAAGGAAAAGAGCTGGGAGGACATGGAAGGGTTTCAGTGGGGCTGGAGAGAGATGAGGGGGACTGTGAGATTCCAATGAAGGTTTTGGCARTGAAATGTGAGGGAAAAAGTTGTGGGGAGACTGGGCACCAGGAGGAGATCACATTTGAGTTTGGGTCTAAATGGGATTGTGGGAATTTAATGAGGTTGGTGAAAATTAATTGGGGGTAAAAGCAGGGAGGGGAGTAAGGGTCACTTAGAGAAAGAGAAGCAGGGCTCCATCAGGAATGGAGTCCAAGAGAGCCAGACGGCATTGCCATGAGCTCAACACCTATGCAGCACCGCATCCTTCTCCAGCCCAGTAGAACAGCAAAGTCCACCTGTGGGAAGGTGAGGCAGGAGCCAAGGACTGTCACAGCCTTACCAGGTGGGTGTGCCTCCACAGCCAGGCTAGCAGAGCACAGGGTGGGGGGACCAACAGCTCAGACATCACCCAGAGAATTAAAGGCACCAAGTGAAGGCCAGCATCCATCTAGGAATACCTTGGAGCAGGTACTGTCGCAGGAGAGATCAGGAAGAGTTGGTTGCCKGCACGGATTGAACAGAGTTCAAGGATGGAGGTCCCAGGAGAGGCCAAATGGGGCAATTAAAGGCTGTTGGTTCCCTCAGGGTCCTGACAATCCTCTTTCGTTTTCCCTACAGAGGTGGCAGCACCCAAATTCAACATGATGGCACATGCCAGGCTGCTTCCTCACTATTCTTCCAGGATTTTGTGGCCCTTCTCTGTCTCTGTCCTTATCACACAGGAGGAAGTGAGGACACCTGTATTCCAGCCTGTGTCAGACCTCTGGGATAATGGTCCCTGTCATTCCTTGTGTTCAAGTTTTCCTGCTGCCAGTTTATATAAAGCCTCTGTGGTCTTGAGCTGGGTTTGTTGCTTTTCCCTGTGCAGACTTCTGGAGCACCAGCTGTTGCCACCATTTTCTGACTATATTTGATTGCTTCCAGTGTCTGTGGACTTGTCCTCAAGTCGTTTCACTGTATTAAAATTTTGGTAGAAGGAGAAACACCCCAAACAAGCCAGTTTGTTGCTGTGTTGCATCAGGCAATGTCAGGACTGCACTTCCCAGCGCATGAGACAGAACAGTGGGAGTGCCCTGGCCTGAGGCAAAGCCTCATTTCAGCCTGGGGAGGGTGGTGTGTTCGCCAGCTTATGTAAAGCATTGTGATCAGAGCTTTCAGTCCAAATATTCCAGCCTTTCCACAGATTCAGTTGCTGTTGCTATTTTAGGGGACCTGATGTCTCTGGGGGATGACTCATTGAAGTTCATCTGTAGCTGGCCGGCATTAATCCAGACTAACAGTCTGATTTGGGAATGYTTCTTTGCATAAGAAAACTGCTTAAGTGTGTGTTTGACTGTGGAGCTTGGCTGAAAGAACCTGGATTACATTTGGTCCTGTGGCAGCCATGGAGCACCAGCAGACAGAAGTTTCTGAACGTCTTCAGTAGCCCTTCAATAGATCGGCCTGTGGGTCTGGAGCATATCTCCAGGATGATACATCCACCTGGGAGGCCTTTTCCAGGTTAGTTCAGCCAGGAACACGCAGGGAGTGAACTGGAGGCAGGGCTATACCGGCTCAGGTGAGACCTGTAGTAAGACCCGTCATCTCTCTGACTGCAAAAGCTGGGGCTTGCTGGGGGACTGCAGAAAACGGCTGCCCCAGGACACTCCTGGATTACCTGCTTGCTATTAACAATGAATTTGGTAGCAATCCAAATTAATTATTCTGATATAAATTGTTGCAAAACCTGGCTGGTGTCACACTTGTGTCTTTCTGTTTGCCTTCGGGGCATGAAGGTGGCCTTTGGACTGTTGGTGCACTTGTATCACAGCATTTTTTAAAGATATAAATCCATTTATTATGCTGCCTAATTCCCTATAATGTTGGCTGCTTTTGCATTTAACCAGAAGGGTGCTTTGCACACWGATTCTTCCGCTGGTGAGAAGTGTCTGCGCAGTGAAATGGGAATGGAGCAAGCCATTAATGAGCACCTTCACAGAGCATGAGCTTTCTGTTTGCTTTGCTTTTCGAGCCAACACTCRCTCCTGAAAACTCACTCCTGAATGAAGCAACTCCCAGCTCCAAGGACTTGCTGGTGGTGTGGCTGGAAGAAGGCTTTGGAAAACATAGATCATCTCCTGGAAATACCTATAGACCTCTAACTTGAATTTTGGCATCTCAGAGTCTTTCTGGACAAAACAACTGTCTCCATTTGCTTGTTTACCTTCCCTTTAATCCTTGGAAAAATAATGATGGGGTTCAAACTGCAGCCACAAAGGTTGCAGAGTTGAAGCGCCCTTAATTGTCGTGGTGGTCTGGAGAGAGTGTGGTCAGTATATGCCAGGTCTTTTCAGGTACGGGCCCTTCTGTTGTACATCCTCATATTTCAGGGATGGTGTTGCTTGTAACCAGAGGGGTACTCACACTTAAACACCCAGCAGGAGCCCCCAGAGACATTTGGTGGAGCTTTAGTACATGCACAGTGAAGATCCTGAACACGAGATACCCCAAAATACCACATCCAGGGTATTTTCACCAGCTCTAACAGCTCAGCCYGTGAGGAACCTCAATGCTTTAGGGGGCTGAAGCAGGCTGGTGTATGGCAGGATGCTTTTGGAACCATAAGGATGCATCCCAGTGCTTTTCAAAGCACAGGATGACTCATTTCTATATCCCTACCTTCTCACCTAGACCATCACGCATCAATGCTGCCATCGAATGGTTTAGCAGGTGCACATGGTGAAATGAATGAATTTCTCAGCAAAGATAGGGTTGAACAGAAGGGACCTCCTCAGCTGGGAGAGCACATTGTGAGGGGAGTGAGGCCTGGGAGACCTGGAGCGAACAGGCAGCAGCAAGAAGTATTTCAACAGTTTCAGAGTGCAGTTTTAGGCAAAAGGCAAAAAGTGAGATGTGTTAATCAGTGTTGAGGGTTTGGGGTCCTGACTCGAGCTCAGCCTGGTGGTGCTTCCACTGTTGATATTATCACTGAGCCCTTTTTCTTCTGGGTTATCTCCAGCTCGCACAGCTTCGGGCTGGCAATCCGAGGGGCAGCTCAGCCCATGCTCACGGCTGAGGTTGATAAGAGGTGTGCAGACACCCAAAATCAAACCCTAGGCACTGAGAAATCTCCTGGATTTCCTTTCCCCCAGCGTGGGAGCTCTGTGTGTCTTTGGTGATGTAGAAGCAAGGCTTTTTCCAGAGATCCTGCCTGCCTCAAGGAACGCGGGAGCAGGAAAGAGGCTGGGTGGGATGGGAGGTTCACCCTGAATCTGCGGGCGGATCGTGGTGTGGGGCACCGGCACTTTCACAGCATTTTGGTATCACGAATCAGGGCTTGTCACGAGGAGATGCTGCAAGTTCTTGCGGAGGCTGAGTACATGTGGCTGCTGTCCCTGGCTGCTCCCAGTCACGGCTGTGGGGCTGAGCTGGAATCAATCAGTGCCCGTGGATGTGCTATGACAAACTCCCCGTGCCCAGAGGCACAGCTCCCATAAATCCTGTGAGCATGTGCTTAACTTTGGGGAGAAAGGTGATTGCAAGGCAATATTTTATTCTTGTCAGCTTCAGTGCTAACAGTTACCAGAATCACTTGGGTAATTAAGCTCTTGCAGGAATAAAGTGAAAAAGCACCAGGTGTCTATGGAGATCTAAATCATTTCTCAGAGTGGGCAGAAGAGCAG